CAAGAGATCGAGACCATCCTGGTCAACATGGTGAAACCCCGTCTCTACTAAAAATACAAAAATTAGCTGGGCATGGTGGCACGTGCCTGTAATCCCAGCTGCTCAGGAGGCTGAGGCAGGAGAATTGCCTGGACCCAGGAGGCGGAGGTTGCGGTGAGCCGAGATTGCGCCATTGCACTCCAGCCTGCGGAACAAGAGCGAAACTCAGTCTCAAAAAACAAACAAACAAACAAAAAAGTCTGCATTCTTCTTAGAAGTGACCACATGAGACTTCCTCACACATTTCAGCCACAGAAACAAGTTACATTTCCTTGCTCAAAAGCCATAGCTAAGTTAAGATGGGATGAGGAAGAATAAAGTTACCCTGTATCCATAAGGAGAAAAGCTTAGCAAAAAGCCAGAAAGCATTACATATAGTGACTGACAGATTGCATTATTTTTCCACAAATATTTATCCCCGCCTTCTGCACTCTGTGGGCAGACTGAACTGTTCTGCACCAATGACTTTGGACTTGGCCATATTACTTACTTTGGTGAATGGAAAATGGCAGAAGGGAGAGGGTGCCAGTTCTGAGCAGAGACCTCAACAGACATCATGAGTCTCTGCCAACTCTCTTGCACTCCTGCACTCTGCCATGAGAAGATAATTGCAGATAACTTTCTTTAGTTATGGATCGAATGGGACCCATGCCCAACCAATCCATATCTAAACTATAGATTCTTGAGGGAGAAATGGATGTATGTTGTATAATACTGAGACTGGGGAGTTCTTTGTTAAGCACCATGGTTTCAGCAAAAAGATGACTAATACAGTGATCCAACACAAGGATTTCATGAGACCAGCTACTACAGATATGGTTTGCATGAAAAGATAAGAAATAGGACCTTACTAGTCAGTATGCTAAGAAATGTAAAGTAAAATGAGATGGTGTTACATTATAGTACATTATAGTACATTATAGATCTATAGTAGCTATAGATCTAAAATATCTTTTTTTCTTTTTAAAATTTTTATCTTTGGATCTAAAATATAACTATCCAATTATTTACATATTAAATAAGGAAAATAAGTAAAAGGAGAATTTCTACTGCTTTTGAGGCTAAGATAATAAAATTAGAAAGTCCTTTTATCCCAGGAAAATAGTCTTTGGTCCATTCCTGCCACTATAACAAAATACCTTAGACTGGATAATTTATAAATAATAGAAATTTATTTCTCACAGTGCTGAAGACTGAGCCAAGATCAAGGTGCTGGCAGATTCAGTGTCTGGAAGACCTTGCTTTCTGCTCCCAAGATGGTACCTTGTTGCCACATCCTCTGGAGGGAATAGACGCTGTGTCCTCACATGGCTGGAGGGACAGAGGACATAAGGGACCAGAATAATCCCTTCAACCTCTTTTATAGGAGCCCTAATCCCATTCATGAGAATGGAGTGCTCATGCCTTATCACTTCCTAAAAGGCCTCACCTTTTAATACTATCACACTGGGTATTAAGTACCAATGTATGAATTTTGGAGGCATATGTACATTCAAACCATGGCATAATTCAAAAGAATAGAATGATAAGGAAGAAGGCTCTTCATTGAGGCATTATGTATAAGAGTCAAATATTAGAAACAGCATAACTCTGCAATAATATAATTTTTTTTTTTTTTTTTTTTTTTGAGACGGAGTTTCACTCTTGTTACCCAGGCTGGAGTGCAATGGCGCGATCTCGGCTCACCGCAACCTCCGCCTCCCGGGTTCAGGCAATTCTCCTGCCTCAACCTCCTGAGTCGCTGGGATTACAGGCATGTGCCACCATGCCCAGCTAATTTTTTGTATTTTTAGTAGAGACGGGGTTTCACCATGTTGACCAGGATGGTCTCGATCTCTTGACCTCGTGATCCACCCACCTCGGCCTCCCAAAGTGCTGGGATTACAGGCTTGAGCCACCGCGCCCGGCCCAATAATAGAATATTTTAAGTAATCTATGGTTCTACTAATATTATAAAATATTGTACAATCATTAAGCTAATAACCATGAACTTTCCTTAACAACATGGACAAATATTTACTAAGCAAAAAACAGAGAATATAAACTTATATCTAAGCTGTAATCGTAGTTATGTAAACAGATATTTAATATATACAGTTAATGACTAAAGGGAATATGGAGAAATTTAAACATTTGTGCTGCAGCAGTGGTTATATGGGCAAATATTTTTCTTCTGAAACCTAACACAAAAAATTGTTCTTTTGACAATAAATATCATTTTTAAAACAACAAAGAAATTTCCCTCCTTAAGAATACACCCATGTGTGTAAGAAAGAGTTGGTGTTTGGATTAAAAGATGCATTTTTTTTAAAGAGTGGAAAAAAATGTAACACATTTTTAATATTGAAGATCCCCGGGTATTCTGAGTAATCTATATACCTTTCTGTATTTTTCAAGTGTTTTTTATAATGAATGTGTTATAAACTTTTGAAAAAAGTTCTTTTAAAAATGCATGAGCATATTTTGTAGTGTCTTTTCTGAAACCCCACAGCTCACCTAGTTAATGCTATCATTTTTTGAATGCAATGCACAGCTGTCTGTAGATAGAGTTCTTCTCCACAACTCGGTAGCCCATAATTTAATTTGAGACAAAGCTAAATATAGCCCCAACTTTGGTATGAAGGATGGAAATATGACTCTCCCTGCCTTTTTTCTTCCCCCTCAGAGGCAACAGGATATTCTTTTCAAGATAGGTGGCCTGTGAGCCTTGTCTAAGATCAAACTGGACCTTGAAATTTTTCCTGGTGACATTCTGAGCTTGGGAGCAGTGTGGTCCTACCAATAAACCACGTGTTGGAGGAGCCTAGACTAGGGGCCTTTTAGACAGTTCCGCTAAACCTTCAAATGTTTTGTTATCCCCTCCTCCCCACCACTACTTTGTACTGGTATGTAGGGGAACTTATCTAAGAGCTAAGAGACAAGATGACAGGTTGCCCCAAGAACACAGACTGCCACAGTCTCACCGATACACAGGCATGCCAGGTTCTTCCTGAGTTAAATGCCTAGGAAGCCTGAAAGAATAAATTCATTCTGGAGAAGTCCTGTGGGTTGTATCTTTAGAAATTCAGCAACATATCTTTGGGGCCATCCAGTGGAGAATACAGTCTGTATCAGAACCTTCGCAGAGACTTCGGGCCTTTTTGGGTCTCAAATTTAGCATCTTTGAAACAAGTAGAATGAAATCAACATTGCCATATGTGGGCACTATACAACCTTTTGCAAATTAAAAAAAAAGGTCAGTGATAATGGTAGTAATAACAGTAATTATGTCATTTAATAAAACGGTCTTATTTTAGAGCTCAAAAGGAGCTTCAGGGCAGCGAGCACTCTAATTATAGTATGTCTGCCTTGTTTAAACCCTGATGCATAAGTACATGGTACAGGGTCTGAGGCAATGCCATATCCAAAAAGTCCTTTTCCGTGATTTTAAAACAGTCACAAGGCAGAGTGTAGGTCCTGATGACTGCTGCCTTGAGGCTTCTCTCATGTTCTGGGAATCAGGAAGCTTCTCCTTCCTTGAAGCTATTGGTAGAGCCCAGTTGCTGGCGAAACTGAAAAACCAGGAGTTATAATACCGTAAAACAGGTGTCTGAGATGCAGTCAGCTAATAAGGCTGTAAGGTTTTGTTGGGAAGCTTCCCTTCCTGAAGAAGGGTCATGTCACATCCCTAGGAAGATAACATCCTGTTCCACGACCACCTGGGGTGTACACATGCATTCAGCTGGGATTGCTCCCGAACCTTCCTAGACTCCATCTCTGGCTCTGGGGTTACCTGTGGGTGGGGCGATGCCGGCACACAGGAAGACCTCCTCTCCAAATTCTCCCTGTAGTTGGCTGGTTTTATTCCAAGCCCTTCGCTGGGATGCGCGAGGGACCGGGCTTGGCACGGCGTCCTCTAAGCGGTCTGCCCTCTGCCGTCATCATTCGTCCGAGCCAGCGAAAGAGCGGCCGGGCAGACGCGAGGGCGGTTCGGGCGGCGCGCGGCCTGGGCGGTTCTGCCCCAGCACGCGGGCCCCGGGAGCCCCGCCTCCGCTCGCGGTGACAGCTCCGCCGGGCCGGGGCTCGTGCCAGCCAGTGCGTCCCAGCCCGGAGAGTGCGCGCAGCGCCGCCGGCTGCAGCGTCCGAAGCCGCCCAGGGCGCCGCGCCGCTCCGCTCCAGCCTGCCGCCGAGACCGGTCCCTCCCCGGTGCCGCGCGCACGGCCAGCCGCAGGTTCGGCCACGTCCAATCCGTCTGCCAGAAAAGCAGACGGCGGAGCTCTCTCTTCGCCGCCGACGCAGGGGGAAGGAGCTGGGGAGGGAAAAGCGGCTGCTGTGTGCGCTGGAGACTCGCGGGCAAGGCTTCTCATTTTCCCAGGCTGCTTCCCCTCCCGGGTGAGGAGCGCCCGGAGACCGAGGAAGGAGCCTGGAAAATGGAGCAGACGTGGGCGAGGTAGGTGGGCTGCTTCCTTCGCGCGGCACCCCGGACGTGGCGGTGGTCCTCCTCCTTCCCTCCCCAGCGCCCTCAGGGAGAGGTCGCCCCTCACCACCAGGCCCCGTGTCGGCTTCCCTTTTCTGTCGCCTCGCCCTGCCTGCTTCCCGGCCCACCTCTCTGGGTCCTTCTGCACATGTTCTGTTTTCCGGGGTTTCCCTTGCTTAACGAATCTCCCTTCCACCGAGTCCTGTGTTAAAAATACCCAGGGAGGCTGCCTGGAACTTTCTGTAGAAATGTTTCTCTGTCTTTTCGTGTGGCGAGAGGGATTCCAGTGCGTCTTCTTGAGAGGTATGTTTGATGTCAGATGCTTTGGAACGACATCAGGTTTATTTATTCTCACCCTGCCACGTTTTCCTTCTCAGCTTCATCTGTCACTACTCACACAAAGGCCAAGGACTGAGCGAGCAGAGCCCAGCAGTACTCATCTCCATAACCTCCAGCTGGAGCCCACTTGGGAGAGGAATGGAGAACGAAAGAGATCAGGGCACCCTACACTCTCAGGCCTTGTTGAGGTCAGGCAACAGTTGGCTTTTAGGTCAGATTTTGGACCTGGCCCATGAAACTGAGTTTTCTTCCAGTCCTTCCCCCCAAATACACTTTAAAATGAAGCCCCATTCAAGAAGGGGTAAGAATAAAACACCATGTATTGAGACAAAGGCTTCCTTTCTGGTTTTTAGTGGGCAGGAGGGTAGGGAGACTATTCCAGAGGTGTCTCTATAACAGATACGCTTCCGTCTGCAGGATTTAGCTTTGGAGAACTGGGGTGGGGCCAAATGAGTGCTCTGACTCCTGAGTGAAGACTGTACTAACACAGAAGGCGAATCTGGGGCTTAGGCAAAAGACTTGGGTGCTTTTAGTTGATTGTTAAGCTCAACAGCAGTCAATGGTATGGTGTGAATATTATAGAAGAAGCAAATGGAAGCTTAGGGTGTGTTGACAGAAGTATGCTGTCTAGGTTTACAAGTGATGATTCTACTTTTGGCTCCTTTCTGCTCTTCTTGAGCCTCTCTAGTTGATGGTGCTTAGTTCTGCTGATCATTGGATAAAATAAATACAATCAAGAGAAACTCAAAGCCATGCCTTGAGGGATGCCCAAAGGACCCGGGACTCCTGAGTCTGGAGAAAGGATGACTGGGAGTGGGAGGATGTAGCTTCCATCAAATTTGCGAAGAGCTGCTGGTGGTAGAGGGATTGGATCACTTTAGAATCTTTTAGGAGGACAGAACAACTGGTTGATGCAAGCCACTTGCAACGAGGCAAGTTATGGCTCAGTGTAAAGAAAATGCTTTCTAACAAGTGAGCTGCCTGGGCAGTAACGAGATTGCTGACCCTGGAGTTACTCAGGCCAGATGACCACTTGATGGTGATGCGAGTGAGTGTATCAGGGCTTTTTGTTCTCTGTTAGTGTTTTTCGTACTTGAAGAAAAAGGTATTATTTATTAAGTTTTAAAAACTTTACATGTAACAATTTCAGACATTCAGAAATGATTTGGAAAAAAATCACAAATTATATATTTACAGTCCAATTAATTTGACAAACTGAATATACTCTTGGGATGGGCATTCAGGTAGAGAAAGGGAACCTTACCAGCATCCCCAAGCCCTCCTGATGACTCCAAGGATAACCATTATCATAATTTTTAACACCATAGAGTAATTTTTTGTAGATTGAACTTTATGTAAATGAAATTATACGCCATGCACTCTTTCGTATGTGGCTTCTTTCACTCAATCTTATGCTTTTGGAGTTCTATACTGTTATATGGTATTGTTGTTCATTTATTCTTGCTTTTAAATAAGCTTCTATTATGTATAAATATATCAAATTTATTTGTCCATTCTATTCTTTTTTTTTCTTTTCTTTCTTTATATTTTTTTCTCCTAAGTAATCTTTTTTTGATGTCCATTCTATTCTTAATAGGCCTTTGAACAGTTTCCAATTTGGAGCTATTATAAACGGTGTTGCTATGAACGTTTCTGTACAGGTTTTTTGGTGAATGTATGTATACATTTCTGTTGAGTAAGTAAGTAGAAGTATGATTTCTGGGGCATAGGAAATGCATGTTCAGATTTAGTAAATACTGCCAGATTGTTTTTTTAAAGTGATTACAATAGAGATTTCTAAAGAGGGCATCCAAAGGGGGGAACGTGTGAAAAGGTGCTCCACATCACTAGTCATCAAGGAAATGCAAATTAGAACCTCAACACCATGCTGCTGTATACATATCAGAATGGCTGAAATTAAAAAGACAGAAAAGAACAAATACTGGCAAAGTGGAACATTCAGAATGTTCACATTATTTTTTGTTTACCTCTACCCACCATAAGTAATATATTTACATTGCAACCAAGTACACTTATATATGTAGCAAACAGAAGTTTCTTGTAACAATACGTAACCATTACATGTTTTGCACTCTGATATTTGCTATTCTATTCTTTTTCTTTAAAAATAAAATGTTGGTGCTGATTCACTGAATTTAGTTCTCCATCAAATGGTTCACAGTTGGAAAAATCCTATAATCACAGATCATGGCTGCCATCTCAGATCCTTCCTAATTCACAGATCAGATCAGTTCATAAACACTTATTAAAAATTTGAGGGCGGAGGCAATGGCTCACACCTGTTGTTCCAGCACTTTGGGAGGCCTAGGCAGGTGGATTACTTGAGGTCAGAAGTTCAAGACCAGCCTGGCCAAAATACTGAGACCCCATTTCTACTAAAATACAAAAGTTAGCTGGTTGTGGTGGCGTGCATCTGTAGTCCCAGCTACTCAGGAGGCTGAGGCAGGAGAATCCCTTGAACCTGAGATGTGGAGGTGGCAGTGAGCTGAGATCGCCCACTCCACTCCAGCCTGGGAGAAAGAGCAAGACTCCGTCTCAAAAAAAAAAAAAATTTTTTTGAGAGCCCCAAACAGGCCACTGTGCTAGATGCTAAGAATAAAACAATGAATGCAATGAATGAGATTGGGTCTATGCCTTTGAAGGCTTTTCATTCTCATTATTTATAATTTGAACAGACAGATGCTAAGGCAGAGATATGCATTGGCTGCTCTACATGGTGGGTAGGGGATTGAAAGAATAAAAATTAACTATAATTGACAACATTTATTAAGTTTTCATTGTGTGCTAATCTCTTTGAATACTTAATTTGCCTAACCCTTACAGCCCTATGAGGTAATTGCTGTTATACTCATTTTTAAGAAAAGGAAATTAAGCTTTAGAAAGATTAAATAATTTGCCCAGAGTGACACACACAGCTAAGAAAGCAATATAGCCTAGAACTGTTTAATTCCAAAAATCTATGCTTTTATTTTATTTTAGTAGAGTTTTGTAGGTGACTCAGTTTATGAGTTGTTTCTGAAGCTGGCTACTTGCTCAATTTACCCACAGAAGACAAGGGACTTGGTATTTTAGTTCTCAAAGTTAGATATGCTCTCCTTCTAGCTACACATCATCTGCACCTCTGTAGCTCAGTAGGAAGGTTCCCCCCACCCACTGGGGCTGTCACGTGACTGCTGCCAAAGTCATTGGCTAAACCGTTTGGACAGACCATGGTTGGCTCTGGAATGGCAAATTTTCTGTGACTACCCTGGCTTTACAAAAAGCTGATTTGGCCACCAGCTTTCAAATGTATTTCCATGAATAGGGTGAAGGTTGTCAAAAGAATAAGCTCATGGAGCTGATGAAGAACTTGATGATGGGGGGAGGTTTTCTTACCTGGCAGGTCCAGTATCAACCAGGCAAGCAGCTTCTACTGCTCTAAATTTTCAGCATCCACTCATCTGGACTAGCTACCCCCTACACCTTCTGCTTTAAAGATTATCAGTATTTCAGGATTACTGTTTGTATTCATTTCCTATTGCTGGCGTAACAAATCACTACAAACTTTTCTTTTCTTTTCTTTTCTTTTTTTTTTTTTTTTGAGACAGAGTCTTGCTTTGTCTCCCAGACTGGAGTGCAGTGGTGCCGTCTTAACTCACTGTAACCTCTGCCCCTCGGGTTCAAGGGATTGTCCCACCTCAGCCTCCCAAGTAGCTGGGATTACAGGCTCATGCCACCAGACTTAGCTAATTTTTGTATTTTTAGTAGAGATGGGGTTTCAGCATGTTGGCCAGGTTGGTCTCGAACTCCTGACATCAAGTGATTCACTCGCCTCGGCCTCCCAAAGTGCTGGGATTACAGGTGTGAGCCACTGTGCCTGGCCAAATCACCACAAACTTAGTGGCTTAAAACAATACAAACCTTATAGTTCTGGAGGTCAGAAGTTTGAAATTTGGTCTTCTACGTTGAAACCAAGGTGTCAGCAGGACTGTTCTCCTTCTAGAGGCTCTAAAGGAGAATTTGTTCCTTGTCCTTTGTGGCCTCTGGAGACTGCCCACATTCCAGGTTCATAGCCCCTTCCAGCAATGGCATCGCTGTGGCCTCTGCTTCTAACATTACATCTCCTTTGCTCATTCTGACCCTCCAGGGTCCCTATTACTAGGACTCTTATGATTACACTGGACCCAACGAGATAATCCAGGATAATCTCCTCATCTCAAAATCTTTAATCACATCTGCAAAGCCCTTTTTTGCTATGGAAAGTGGCATACACACAGGATCTAGGGATTAGGAATGTGGACATTCTTATAAGACCATTATTTTAGCCTACCACACCATTCAATGCTGAAAAAGTCATTACTAATCTTCTTCTCCATTTCAGTGGAAATGTTCTTGTTTCTAGCATATGGGAACACTGAATAAACGTCAGGTGACTCATATATGAACCTTATACAACCTCCCTGCACACATAACTCAAGAAAAGAGTGAACTAGAAATGTTTAAGTGCAATCTATAAGACTGAAGGTTAGGAAAGGGAAGCAAATTAGTCTGTTTTGTTTTGTTTTCTATTACCCTGCAATTTGGTTTAATAAACTGCAAGCATTAATTGCATTTATCTGCTGTATCTGTGAAAG